TCTGCCTTTCATCTTCAGGCATTCTCCTATATAAACCTTCTTCTAAAGAGGTAATTCTAAAAATTGAAAAAAAAAACTGCAAAGCAAAGTAGTGGAATGTAGTAACTAAAAAAAAGAAAGTTGGAAGTGGCTGTCAGAAACCGTTGGGGAGAGTAGTCGGTGTTCCTCAGCACACCGTAGCTAAACGTGCACTGCATCAGTAATCTTTCCATTGAAATTTCTCAAATCCAACCACAAGCACCATCATAAGTATCTTCTTTAAAGGAACCGTCCAGATGAGATCACAAGCATTAGTAGCATATTTGAGTGAGTCATTTTAAGCGAATAAGAAGGCAGAGAAAAAAAGTTCCGGTCAATAAATTTCCGGAGGTTATAATGATTAGAGGTGTTAATTTCAAGTAGTAGGTTAGGTTCGGGTCAAATTCAGAACTGATCCGATACTATTCGGGTTCGGTTCAGCCTGAGCCTGATCCGTTTTTTCAAACGAGTCGATTTTTCAGACCCGAACATTACGGGTTTGGGTCAACCAAACCCGACCCGCTTGTTCAGTTATTTCGATTTCCCGCAAACGACGCTACAGCAAGCGACAGCGCTGCAGCCGGAGCAGCCACAGCGGCAGTTGTGCCGGCGACGCTACAGCAAGCGACGCGCGGACTCGACTCGATGGCTTGATGCGACGCGACGTGGGCAGGCGAACCGTGGGGCTGCCGGGGCAACTGGCCGGGGCAGGCGGGCATACTCGGGTAGGGCTTGTCAGAGCGGGCAAACGGGTTGTCAGGTCATTCCGGGTCCCAGGTCAACCCGAACCCAACCTGGTTTTGCAAACGGGTCGATTTTCCGGACCCAATTTCGGGTCGGGTCAACTCAAACCCGAAATTTTCGGATCAGGTTTTCGGGTCGGGTCCAATATTGACACCCGTAATAATGATCATAAACAGTTTTTAAATTAATTCCAAATAAACGGAAAAAATTTAGAGCTTGAATTCTAAGGAACCCAGTAATATTAACAGTTAAGAGACTTGCCAAATAGATCCTTTTTTTTTTCCGAATAATTTCTAAGCTGAAACAAATGAACGGCAGATTCGCCTCAGTAAAATAACAACGCTAAGAAGAAGCTAAGGCAAAAAAATTAATAAATAGAAACAAATAATTAGAAAAATAAATAAATCTGGAAGCATCTTATCACTAATCAAATAACCTTCAACTTAGAAAAGATATAAAGGATTAATAATACTTTAGCAGAGAAGTTTGCAGAAAGGAAAGGAAGATAATTGACCAGTAACATCCCCAAAATATCTAATAGAAAATATGGTCAAAACTTATTCTCCAAATAATCAAATTAAACAGAAATGATAGCACGTAAAGAGACGTACGTATAAGAACGATGAAGAAATATGAAAAGGAAGCAGTTTATTAAAAAAATTATCATTCCAACAGACCTAATTAATCCCACAAAAAGGAAGTCAGGTTAAACAATTGAAATAAGTTAAGCCAAAGTGAACCCAACGAGCTAGGTTATGTCTGACATGACCGCTTCTACATCTCTTTCATTTTCCTACACGAAATCTACTTTTTAATGGGGTTCCAACTGCTATTTTTCTGAGGATGTTTTGGTTAAGTTGACTGATAGGGGTGGATCCCCATTGAGTTGAGGAACTTTTATTTTATCCAGCAAATCTACGCTTCTCTACGTTCGGTTTAGGCAAAAAAGTGCCTATACCGAGTTTTTTGTACAACTCTGTACCCGGTACTCTGTGCAGGCGCTTTTTTTTCCTAAACCGAACGTAGAGGAGCGTACGTTCACTGGATGTAATAAAAGTTCTTGAGTTGAGGGGGGGCAAATGCCCCCCCTTAAATTTTTTTTTTTAAATTTTAGAGGGATATTTTGGAATATTTTGGGTATTTTGGGTATTTTGCCCCCTCTCAAAAATTTTGTTTGCCCTCATTTAATCAATCCTAAGCATCTTTGCCCATTCCCCACAAAAAAAATTTTTTTTGCCCACCCTGAAAAAAGAAGCTGGATCCGCCCCTGTAATGACTGATCCTTTTGAATTTACATTGGTAGGAAAGTTTCCTATGCGTCGGCCAATACTGATGATATCCGTCAGATTTTTGTTAACCTTAATCGTTCTGGTACGTTCTTTGTTTGCCTTTTCGATTCAAAACATATTGTCATTAAATAACTTGCTAATGACTTGGATTATCGTAGAGTCTTTGAAGGAAGAGCGCTTACTATATTAATAATTATCAAATCTGTGTTCTGATGTACGTGGTCTTGATCCTATTTCCTAATCTTAGGTTGCATCTTTTCAATCCCCAAGTATATTACATGCCCTTAATCAAACATATATTCCAAAGGAAAAAAGCCTAACACTTATTTTCCGCATAACGTGGAAGAGAGAGAAATGGTGAGATTTTGAATTTTGAAGTTCGTCTGTTGCATTTTTTCTGCTTAATGGCAGAGGTTGGTCGTCGGCTTCCTCTCGCCGGAGATGATGATTCAAAGATTAAAGTCAGAACCTTCACTGGAAGACTTTGGTATTCAAACACCAAAGAAATGCTACCATGGCATTGGAATCATTCAAGGTGCTAATGTAGGTTTTTCAAAAAATTCAAATTTTCTGTTGAATTTGAATTCTTCTGAGTTTCCGAGTCTTTCAAAAGGCAAAGAGAAATTAACTTCGAGTCATTAATCAAAACTTTGATGGAAGAAAAAGCATGACATTCATTAATGATTCTGAATCTTCTTCCTCCAAATCTATTCATTTTGAAGAATCATCTTCCTGCATGAATAATTCTATTTCTATAAATTTAGTTTTACATCAAGATTTTCATTCATAAGCTACAAATGAAGAAAAATCTCTAATAGTTGAAGAAAAAAATTCTTTTTCAGATATTGAAATAAATGATGGTGATAAGATTAATGATGTTAAAGTTGTGAATCAGAGTTCTGATGCCTCTTTCAAGAAATCTGGAGAGTTATAAATTTTTAATGTTTTGGGTCCAAAATGCTCCCTTTATTTTAAAAATTTACATCACAACAATCCGAAGGGTATATGGTCCAAGGAATATTATAGTAAATGCCTAAGATACCCAAATAGTTTTCATCAAAATTTTGGTCCAATTTGACCACCGGATTGTGAGAAAATTGCAAAAAAAAAAAAGGAATTTCAAACAACTAGAATATCTCACAAACAAATGATCAAAACATTTCAGTTTTAATTTTAATTAATATTATATTAAATTATCTTTCCAACGAGACCAAAAACATTTAATTTGGTAAAATAAATTAATTTACTGTGAATTTTGAACATTTTGGCTATTAATTGAATTATTTAATTCCATTATTGAATTAAAACAACAAATCAACTGAGAGAGCAATTGGTAGCGCACGGTGGCTCAAAATTGCGTAGATAGGTGTCGATATCACGATGCAACATGCGACGTGATTTTGTTTCATAATTATCCATGTCAGTGACATATTAGAGCCATTGATTCAACCACGGCTGATTCGAACAACTCTAATTATGCCATACCAACTTTTTGTGGTTTCAGAATGACACAGATTCAAATCCACGGGAAGATGAGCATGGTCCAACTAATTATGGGCCATCCGACCTATAAAGAAGGAAAATCGGATGATTGAGATCAATCTAGACAGTTTTAGTTCAAACTGAACTAGAAAATTAAAATTCTTATAACTTTTAAAATGCTCCCCCAAATTTAATGAAATTGGAAACATAAGCTCATGAGAACATGAACTTCCTTTGCCGGGAGTTTTGAGGTTCCATGTAAAGAAAAGTTTGAGTAGTTTCAAATTTAAATTTAAACTTAAAATGAGAATAACTTACAATCCAAGTGTTGGATTTTTTAGATCTTGGGCTCCATTTGCTCCTAGTGAAATCATTTACAAGTTTTCTGAAGACCCTAGAAGCTTTTGATTAATGTATTTGAAGTTGATGAAAAGAACTATCTTTTTCTAACTAGAATGCTCTCTTCTCACTAAAATAGTGATTCGAGGATTGGAAATGATGGGGAGAAGCTTGGAAAGGCCTTAGATGTGGCTGGAGAAGATAGGGAAGGGTTTTTCTTAGAGAGGGGGCTACTGGAGATGGAGTTTGAATATGAAATGAGCTTGAATAATCCCTTAGGCATAGTTTCTCCCTACCTTAAGCCCTTAATTTTGATCGAATTGACTGGATTGAGTTGGGAGGAGCTTGGATACATGCCAAGTTAACCCTAAGCTGCTTAAAGCTAGGAAATAGGGTTGGTTTTTGAGTGTGACTTCCCTTGTTCCGTGGGGAGAGGGACCACACCCTTTTCCCTCATTTGGCTAAACTCAAGCATATCTTGGTTTAATGGGCTAGTTTAGGGCCTCTTAGAAGAGGAAATTAACTACTTTCTAGTATGTTTGAACAAGATTTAGATGGGAGAATAGGATTGCCAAGGTGGCAGGGTGATGTGGCCATGATTTGACTTTTTCCCATGAGTTTAAAGGGGCTTGTTGAGTTGTTGACCTATTGAATAATCAATGATGATTTGGATAGGCATTGAGAGGGTCAAGGGAGCTGTATGAAAATATCCTAAGGTCACTCTAATACTATTTTTATGATCTACTTATAGCTCAAATAAAAAGTGCATGCTATTAAAATTAACCACTACAATTTTAAGTAGCAAATTCTATATATAAGGTACTTGTAACCAATGATATTTTAAAACTAATGTTTGTAATATTTAGATCATTCCTAATGTTTTGGTGAATTAGTGTTATAACTCCTCATACCTGTCGAGTTTGTTGGAGTGTTTATCTAAGATTTCTCACAACTATAGTGCAAATATATCCTTAAGATTCCAAATTTGTAACCACCATATGTCTACGTATGACAAAGTTAAGTTTTAAATCTCCTAATTGTTCTTCTACTCCTTTGTCGAGGCTTTAATTAGATCTCACTATATTTTATGTTCATGCAAGGCCTAAACATAAACTAAATTAAGCATGAAGTATTTAAAAATTATATTGAGTAAATCATTAAATTATAAATCTAATCTAGAGTAAGCATGGTATCTAAAGTATCATAAGCCTATAAAAAAGATTTAGCTAGATAGAAAAATTAAATTAAATAAAACTCACTTTATTGCTATGTAAAAAGTAAAAGTACAAGAGAAAAATAAGAATAAATATCACCAGGAAATCCTTTACAAAATGATTATACACTCAGTGCACTTCTTCCCCTCTTCTCTATTGACACTTGTAAGAGTACTATAAAATAAATATATGACTAGCCCTATCTAGTAGCAACAACCCTGTCCAATAGAAGTAGTCCATTATAGTAGTAGTAGCCCCTACTTATAGCAACAACCCATTACCTAATAAATTAGCTTTCAATTTATAATTTTAATTAATAATTGAATTGGCACCATTGTGCTGAGTTGGACAGTTCTACTATGTTATAAAAGTGATTTTTTGGATTGTCATTCTTCACATATGTTTGGTAGTTCAACCATTAGTAACTTTCAACCATTGTGGTGCTATCGTTATTTGTCATTGTGGTGCTTAGCCTGATGCTTCAATGCTTTGATCACTATGATTTTACCACTGCAGTTCTACCATCTATGCTCACACACCAAGGATCTGCTTAGTGTTGTTGCACTCTGTATATGGCATCGTGATACTCCTTTAATTATGAGTACTTTTTTTTCTTTCCTAAACAAAAAGAGAATTAAATTGCATTTATTTTAAATTAAGTAAAATTTAGATAATACATTTTTTCTTAGCAAACACTAAAATCTATCCATGTAGCCGACCCCATGTAGTGGGATAAAGGCTTGATGTTGTTGTTGTTGTTGTAAACACTAAAATCTATCTAACCCTTACTCAACTTAAAATTAAACTCCACTTAAAATATCCTTAGTCTTTTAGGCATTAGAAAGATAGTCCCCCATCCACTAATTTGATCACATCATGGATCTATGCCCACACCCCCCACTGCCACATCAAGTTCATGTACATATAATCTAATTATAAATTAAATTTTAGAAAAAATTTCTCTAGAAGTTGACCCTAATAGCTAATAATTCTACATGGTTTACTTGTATTTAGATTTATTTCACTAAAAATTAAATCAATCGGTCAATTTAATATTATGGTGTAATCTTTTTAAAGTAAATATTCATTCATTAATCTATTTTATTTACATATACATTTATTAAAAATTACTTCTACTATGACAATGATATTTTATATTTGTTGAGTTTACCTCTTAAATGTACTTTGTTGTGTTATAGAAATAGTTTTATATTTCTCATAATATACTGGTCATTATTTCAAATTTGGACTAGAGTCTTATGATTTTGATGATAACAAATATTATTAGATTCTTTATAATGCTATCTCGTGTTATTGTTGTTATTGCATTTATATTTTCTTGTGCACTAATATTCTAGGTCCATCGTACATTGTGCAAATTGATCAGCTTAAGACCGGATAAAATAAGATTAAGTGTCCTAAAGAGTCTATATTTTTACTTTTATTTATTTCTAAATTTCTTGAGTCTTATAATATATTTAGTGGATAATAAACTTGGTAATCGTGCACACACACACTCAAGGGAGTGAGATAATAAGATAATTAAGAGTATACTTTTTTGAACTAATTGTATTAGATAATAAATATCATACTATATGATTAGATATTCAAAAAACCATTAAAATGACTAATTGTGATAATTAAATCCATTTAAACAAATTATGATGTATGAAAAATATTATACATGATGATCAATTGATAGTAAGTTCTCAATCGCCAATCACAAATTAAGCAATGTTTTAAAAATTAAAATTTGTACTAATCATATAGCAAGATATGTATCATTTAGGATTATATAATTAAATCTATCATAAATTAATCATGTAATTAAGGAATAATTTTGGATTAGTTGATTCAGTTAGATTGTGTAGGATAATTTGAGCCAATCATTCTATACAACCCAATATCTACATGGGAAGATATTTAAATCATCTCCCATCATACGGGATGATAATCCAAGCCTTTTTATTAATTATACTAGATGATGCTTTATATTATACGGTACTGTTTGATCAATTAGCTAAACTGATCAAACAACACCTTACACTTTATTATAAACTAATAGGGTTATTTAAATTAATAGTACCTTACGATCTTGAATTGTATTGTATGATCAGTATCCCACATAATTTAATATTAGGGCTTTTATGAAGCCTTGTATTTGATCTCTCTCATTACAATTATTTTAAGTTTTTAGCTGCTGAGTGTTATAGAGAGAGAGAGCTTGGAGAAGAAATCTCATAGAGCTTTGGGAGGAAGAAAGAGAGAGCTTGTGTGTGAGATAGATGTAGTGTGAGGGGTTCAAAGAGGTTCTCCAAGAAATTTTCTTGCTTTATTTCACTAAGGTGTCTTTCTATGTTTCTTGGGTGGCTCTGGGAAGAAGTTCTTCAACTCAAAGATTGTTGTGATTCTCTGCCACCTCCAGAAGGTTGAGAAAGTAGGTTAAGGTCCTCTACTAACAATAGGAGGGTGAGAAAGGAGGTTTAAGTTCTCTTCCATCATCAAAAGGGTGAAAAAGGAGGTCTCGATTCTCTACCATCATTAGGAGGGTGAGAAAAAAATGTAAGGGTTCTATGCCATCACAAGGACAGAGAGAAAGGAGGTTAAGTTTATCTACCACACCAGGTTGGTGAAATGATTATGAGGGCTTCTCTGCCTAGCTGTTGGGGATAAAGGAGAGAGACTAAAGTTTAGTGCAATACTTGGAGAGGAGGACTCTATGGACTCTACGCAGGTCAATATTTGACTGAATAACTATACAATTTTTGGGGTGTTCTTTCTGGTCTTTAAATTCCCTATATCTTATTTTTTTACAATTTTGATTTGCTAGAGATTGCATTATGGATATTATATGGTTAAAAATATATCAATTTAATCTATTAATCAACATCATAATTAATTTTTTTTTTTTTTAATTTATGCTTCCTCATTTCATGATAAGTGTTGTTATTTTTAAGTTTTTAAAAATCCCCAAGTCAAAAACATTATTTTGTGTTATCTTTCTAGTAAGATTAAAAATAAAATTAATTGACACCCCCCCCCCACCCATCTTTATGTGCATAGGATAAGTTCACTAGGCTTTAAACAACCTAACATCAACATTCAATGAGATCAAAGTAGTTCTCAATAAAAGTACTTTTCAAAAATTAGAGAAAAATGATCGATGGTATATTTTGGAAAAAAAACACATAAAGGATTATCTTTAACTCGTCAACCTTGTTTACAAATACTATTTGATATTTTTTAGGAAAATTTAACATGTCTATATTTCTGCATCTAATTTTTTAAAATTTGGCATATGATTCCAATGATATCACTTCATCTAAATGAATGGAGTTAAAAATTGATATCCCGATTACTAAATGGAGACAAAGATAAGAGTTTACTTAGTTGAATGCAAAATATTGAATTATTTATTTTCAGTGCTTTAAAATCTCAAGGATATATAGATGTCTATAGTGCTATAGGAAAGGAAGTATGGGATATGATGTTGCTGATATGAGGGAACTAGTGAATTAAACAGTCTAGGTTAAATATTATACCTCTATAAATCTTTTGTATAAAACATAGCAATATCATATCTGAAGTATACTAGGTTCCTCAAATAGTGAACATCCTATATGCATTAGGTAGTGGACTTCACTACGAAAAACCCCATAATTACACTGCGGACAAAATCCGCAGAAAACATAGATATTCCGCGGAAATATACATTTCGGCGCACGTCGGGGGAAAATCCCTACGCCGGGTTTCTGGCCCGTCTGATAAATTATTTCGCGCAGCAAATTTGCATCGGAAATTTCCAGCAGTTTCGATGTACTACGCGCAAAAATGGATCATTTTTCGACGTTGAAAACGTCTTGAATCCTGCCGCCAATCCGCCGTAATAGCCGTCGCATATACCGCCATTACGCGGATAATGACGACAACATAAGTGTGGTAGAAACCTCACGAACTCGTTTGCGACACAAATGTACTGGCGGTACTTACCGGCAGGAACGTGCACCGGTATAAGCCGGTAATTTCCGACAGCACAAAGACGACGGTACATACAATACGATTCGTTGTATCGTCTTTCCGGCGAACTGCGGCAAAATCCGTCGGAAACCTGGAGCATTGACAAAAAAAAAATTCCTTCCCAGCAACAATCAAATTTCCACCCTACAAAACTATAAATTTTCTACAAACATATGTACAACATTGACAACATGTAAATACAATTAATGCCACAGTTTCACAACAGTTTATAACATTAAAAGAAACAGTTCATACTAACAATCAACTAAAACACAACATTAAAAGAGAACTGTTCAATAAACAGTCACAGAAATAATAAGTTCATATAACTAATTAACTACTCTGACTCCTGGACTTCTCTCTAGGTGGAGCTGACAATCTTTTCCACTTAGCTGTCCCTCATCTTGCGCATTTCATCCACAAATTGATTGTGTTTGCTGAATATGTTTGAACATGTGCTTGGCTGAGCTGAACCTGTGCTTGCAGCTGAGACTTGAACCTGTGCTTGCAAGCTAGCTGCCATAGCTTGTGATTTCCTATTGTTATAGCTCAGCTTGAAGGGCACTTATTGTTGAGGCTTGAAACTCATGCGAACTGGATGCAGTAGAGATGTCACTCCCTCGTATGCCTGAGCTTGGCAACCTAAGCCAATACTCTACCAGCTGCATTCCTCCACGACTTGCACCAGATGCGATCTCAGAATTACTCATAGAGAGCCGCCTGAATAGCCTACTGATGCGGCAAGAGTCTCTCGAGCCCGTGTTATAATCCCTCCTGTGAAAGTATAATAATAAAATATAATATAGTTAAACTAAAATTTAGAGAAATATTAAACATATATAAAATATACTTACATAGGTTTTTTGATCTCTCATCAATACTGTTGATCCATTCTTGTGCTTATGAGTAGGCACTATGCAATTCAACAAGGAGTTGGTTCTCACCAAGCTCGCTTCTATTTGAATTAAGAGAATTTTATTAATATAATTAAAAGACAATTTTAAAAATATTTAAAATATCATTAACCAACGACGCCTGTGCTCAGTATGTGGAAAGCAGAGCCGCTGTATGAAGTTGAACTTCCAAACCCACCAACATTAGAACTCTGTTCGTCGATTTTGATCCTCTTCCTCTTACTCTTCTGCCCCAAGCTGCAATTAACTCAGCCCATATTACCTCTCCATCCACAGTGGTTGCTTCCCAGACTTTCTTAATATCAGTCAACATCGTCGCGCATCCAGTAGACCACGGCGTTCTCAAAATTCTTATATATCCTCATTGGTGTTTGGGCAGCCAACAAAAATCTTTCCTGGCAATCAAATAAGTAATGAATATAATATATAGATTATTAGCTTAAGTAAGAAAGGAAAACAATTACATAACATTTAAAACCCAAAATAACTCAAACTCTCTGAACCACAATCTCCGGGACTTCTTTCGGGATTTTCTTCATTCCAAGAATATAAGGAGCGTCAAACTCTGTCCGTATGATGTTCCGATTTTTTTTGTATCATTTGTTTTGATGGGTAGAACTACAAAAATAAAGTTATTAAAACAAATATAAAATAAAATAAAAATATTTGTTATTTTCTAAAAATGAAAAGAATGTGACTTACGTGCACTCAGTGTATAAACATTCTACCATTTGTATCCTGCTTCTACTCAGCTGCCGTAGTCGGTCCTGCTGTCGAAGTCCGCTCTGTCGAAGGTCAGCTGCTGTCGAGGTCCAGCGCTTCGAAGGACCGAGCTGTAGCGGGCTGTGGGTGGGGATAGTATGGGTGGAGCATATGGTGAATAGATAAGTAGGAGGCACCAGCATACGATGGGGTGTAGATATGGGTAGAAAGGTACTCTGCCGCAGGATATCTGAATAGGAATCGGGTCTGGAGTAAACTGTGGGTAACCCTTCTATGAGTGGGTAAAGCTGTGATCATGCTTGAGTCTGTGTATGAGGAAGAGGCTGTATGTTGCTGAGGCTGTGTAGCAGGCTGAGCCGAGGTTCCTGCAGTACCAATATGGCCTAGGTGTCTAGCTGTATCTGAATCTTCTGATGTGCCTGTTAAAAATTTTTTATCAATCCTCTATAGGCTCCTCACCTGAACATCTGCACATAAATAAAAAAAATATATAAATTGAGTTTAAGAAATAAATTAATCAAAAATTAATGCGCTGAGTAGCTAAAAAAAATGCAGTCAAAGTAAAAGCAGGGAGTAAAAAAAAATATAGTGGCAGTAGCTAAAAAAAAATGCAGTAAAGTAAAACTCAGAGAGTAAAAATAAAATGCGTGCAGTAGCTAAAAAAAATTATTAGTTACCTTATGTTGTTAACTCATCATTTGTTGATTCACTTGCATAGGATGCATACCTCCCTTACTTCAGAATTTCGATTATTACTTTTCTCTATGGTTAAATCTACCTCCTCTAACTGCAGACTCGCTCTCATTAATTTCTGATTTGTCATCTACATTGATTGAGAGATTTTAAATTAGACAGTAAACTTTCTTGATGTGCTGATGGTATTGAGGTGGTTTTCTCAATACTCCCCTTGGTTTGTCTTCATAACTACCAGTCAATCTTTCTTTTCCTCGTTTCCGCTTGGATAGTTAGCATAATAACTTGAGTTGCACTAACTAGCAATGATGGAAAGGATAAACTTTGCTATCTCCTAGCCCGCTTTAACTTTGTATATCCAGAATTGGATGAACTTTCGTGCCTCTATTTGGTACTAGATCTCAAATCATTCACATTGAAGAGATACCACAGTGTTGCCTCTGACCGAATATAACTTAATATTTCTTGTAATACCCCTAGTATTCAAATCATCTCTGTATGGTGTTCCCTCTTATACATACGCCTGAATTTCTGTCTTCTTTCCTTCACACAATTTTTTGTCTGGAATTATACCATGATGACCTCAATATTCTGATAAAATTTACTAATCTATTTGATCCAAGCTAACTCAATAACCTTGAATACTGCGAACATATCTTCAGTGTGTACTTCAAATTGTACAAGATGTTTATTAATTAATAATTAACTCATAAGTTAAGAATATTATTCAAACATCCGTATTTTAAACCAAGCGAGTAAATTCTTTTGCCACTGTCTTCTGGACTTCTCCTTCTTCTGATTGTACTAAGACATCAAGAACCTCCTAGAAATTTTTGTCTTGATTTAGAAAAGTCTAAAAGAAAATAAAAAATATAAAACAACTTAACTCATCTTACTCGAGATATGGCTCACTTCATCACAAGTTAGCAGATGTACAATGTGATAATACCATCTCATCATAAGTCAAATAGCGCACAGTACTAGCGCTAAAGGTTCCGCATTCGCGAATACAGATAATTAGAAGATTTATCAACTTTTGAGGTGGTGAAACTTTCATCTGAATTGAGATATTGTTTCAAAATAATACGAGCAAAACTATTGTCTTGTATGGTAAATTTGCTATCAGAATAGAGCCATGCGGTCGTGATTTGTCTTTAGCGGTATTGCTTAAGTTTGATAAATAGTCTCTCAAAGGATACAATCACCTATACTAGAACGGGTCACCACCATAGCCTCATATGATAAATAATCAGGTAGATGTTCAAGAGTCAAAAAAGCCTGGAGGAAAATATTTTCAAGTTGACGACAAATGAATAAATTTTGCTGCTCCATAACAAATCAAATTATCCATATTTAAATTTAGAAGAGCATAAATCTTTGAGAAACACTTAACTCATCAGGGCTTTAAATGATCTGGAAAGATAACTAAACAGAGTGATTAGTAGACATTGCATGAGATTGTACAATCATGGACTTTTCAATCCGAATAATCCTGATTATCACACACCGTGCTTAGATTGGAAGAAAATATCCATCAGTCTCGAGCAGTCGTTCACCCATTCACAAAATTGCTCGTTTTTGCTCTAAACGTTTAATGCGAAGTGGAGCTTTGGGTCTGAGAAATTTCCCGGCTCAACCATCCTTCAATTTCAAGCTTTCCTCTACAAATTCTTTAGTCATCCTTACTTTTAATTATCTTATTGATTTCTTTGCTGTCCATAACTGTATAGAAAATATTATCTAAAAACATTTTCTCTATATGCATAAATCCAATTATGTCTATCAAGTTGTTCTCCATATCGACAAGACAAAAATACTTTTCTTGGTCCAAATTATGATTGACACAATTCTGGCAATCTGATCTCAGCTATGTTGAGATTCCATTATGGTGGGCAAGTAACTCTTACTCTTTAAAAATTTCTTCATACTGAATTTGGAGGAGGTGAACATCACACATTTATTTTAGTAAACGTTCTTTTATTTCGCTGAAGGATGACTTTGGGAAAACACCATTGATGACAATCAACCAAGTGTTCTTCCTACATACTTTAAAGTGAATGATTTTGTATTCATTCCATACAATATGGACAATGGCTAACTTGCCTGAGTGTTCCACCTGAGGCAACCTAATGCAGAAAGTCACGCAATTGTCCAAAGAATCTGCTCTAGGGTAAAATTCTGTTTGGTGGAGATATCCATATTGTACTTATGCCTCTGTTCCATAATAACTTAAAATTCAACCAGAAGGTTGTAAGAATAATGCAATTCCTCTTCAATTTTTGGATTATGTGGCCCGAGATTATAAGATGCATAGAAACATAATAAGGTAGTAAGTCATACTAACTCTGGAGGAAGATGTAAGGATGAGTATCAAGACGGCAATGAGTACAGTGTAGCCGACGACTGAATGGAGTAAAACATATGCAATAACCTAATCTGACATTTCTTGTTCTCTGCGCGAATTGGGATGTGTAACGATCAAAGTTTCCAAGCCTCTGCATTCTGATGGATTGTATAACACCTTCTTTGTAATTGTGTCA